AGGTACAACACATGGTGGCCCCGCTGCACAGCTGGGCTCGGTGAAGAGCAGTATAACTAAGGAGTGACGGTGATGCGACAATATTTATATGTGCAGGCGGAGCCTGACATCTGTCGTCATCACGTCACCTGCCTAAAGGCGTGATTAGAGGTGGCTTCAGCCAGGACACGCAGGGGCGTGGTTCCCATACATGATGTTGTACCTCGTTCCTTTCCTTCAGGGAACAGTAGTTATATGCATAACATTACGTTTTGTAAATTACATAAAAGAGACCGTCTGAGTTCTGCTCCACGCCTCTTTTGTTTCTGCTCAGATCGTTTCATTTCTGAAAACTCACATTGGAGACGTGGTCGACTCCATTTGTGATTTATGAGTGATCAGAAAGGAGCACACAGATGGACCGGTCTGAGCCATAGAGTTAAAAAACACTAGAGTGAGCTTCGCCTGTCCCGTCCACTGTGGAGCAAAGATGGCGTCCAAACAGGGCAACAGCTCACAGCCAACAAAGCAACTATTTGATTAACAAAAAGCCCACAAATAATTTTAAATAGTTTTACAGTAAATTAATATAATTGATAATTATGTTAATTTTATTTAACAATCATGTAAAACTACTAGATAATATAAAGAAAATATATAAGTAACTGATTTAAAGTAGATCTGAAGTTAGTCAATGACTTTTAGACTTTTAAACTAGTTGAATAATTATGACTTTAATTAATTATAAAGTAGATTTATTATTATTTACCTGTTATATAGTCAACAATTAAAAAATAGTCTTTAGAATGAAACTTGTCTCAGATGATATTAGCTACTCAACAGGTCATGTTTATCTAATAGAAACCTAAAAATAGTCAAATATAAAATATTATTTAACACGTGTAAATATTACATAGATTAGAGGCAAAATCGGTTTGTAATATTTAATAATTTGTGTTAAACATTAATCAGTCAAGCATTATTCAGCAGAGTGTTACACCCAGTATTGCATTAAATGCTACAGAAGCTAATATCTGCTAACCGGTTCAATAATTAACAGTGATTACATTAGCTTTATAAGCTTATTTTAATTTGAACTGTTACATTATTAGCTTCGGTTCTGGTCAGATCACATCCATGAGGTAAATAAGATAAAATCATCTTATTTTCTCTTCTGTTGATGCATCACAGCTTTCTGATATATTTGACATATTTCTGCTATATTTATATACATTCTAATATAGCCATGATAATTTATTATTATCATTAAGTTTTTATAATTTTTACATGATCAGCTCTTGTTTTGCATATATGAACAGTAATACTCACCGGTGCTACAGTGAAGTAGCCCAGACGCTCTCAGCTGTATTAAAGGACCTCAGTGGTCTGTGTGCACATTTCACATTACTGTTTTATGAAAGAGCCAAAACTAACATCCACCTCCAGCCTCTGAGTCAAGGTGAAAAGGTTAAAAAACTGTTAACATTGTTCTCTGACATGAATGTTAGTCTTTTCTAATCAATGATCACTTTATTTGTTTCAGCTCCGGAGGTTTTAGCTCAGAAACCGTACAGTAAAGCAGTGGACTGCTGGTCCATCGGGGTCATCGCTTATATTCTGTGAGTATTTTTTTATCAACTCAACCTCACTTTGTCTGCTTAGTGCCTGTTTCTAGTTAACTCTAAGTTAATAATTAAAAAAAACATACTCATACACTTCAGAAAGAGTAAAAAGTTTTTAGCAAAGCTGGAGCCAAAGCTACAGGGGTCAGATTTATAAAACTGGCGTACGCACAATATGAGCCCAGAAACGTGCGTACGCCACTTTTTACGCCAAGGTTGTGATTTATAAAATCCAAATTTGAGGTGAAAATGTGCAGTGCCTCACGCCAGCTTTGACCCATGCATACGCTCATTTTGGAGACAGGAAATTGTGACAGAGATGGTGAAGTGAAGAATTACAGTATAGCCACACTGTGTAATGATCACTGTCAGATTTAATTTCACTTCAGAATCAAACTTAGATTTTTATTCAACTTTATCATCAGCTTTCTTAACAATAATATTTATGCTTCTGCTGCTGAGCCATGAGGACCTTTGAAATAAAATTTAAAAAACTTAAATCTTAAATAAAAGTTCCCGTGCGCAACTCCCTTCATCTGCTTCCTCCTCAGACGACCCTGACCCACAGACCCTCCCCGACAAGAACAGCAGGACAGCAAAAGTCACGCTTTGGATACACGCGCAGGGCGCATCCACCTCGCCAGTGTGGATTTTATAAACCTTCACGTTTAATGTGTGTGTGTGTGTGTGTGTGTGTGTGTGTGTGTGYGTGTGCGTGTGCGTGTGCGTGTGCGTGTGCGCGCAGGGCTCTGCCGCAGATAACAGAGCAGGCAGGAGGGGGAGAGGACGAGGAGAAGAGCGGGGGACTTATTTCTAATTTTATCTGACTTATTTAATTTAATTTTTATTGTTTTTATCGTCCTGCAGGCTCTGAGAGAAAATTAATTTGAAGCTGAGTTTTTTTTAAATAAAAATCATTAGATTACTATAAAGCAAAATGAGGGAAAATCTGTGTCAATTACAGACATTCTGTTCACGTGAGCAGCTGTCAGTCAGCACCTGTCATCATCCAGACACACGAAGGAGCGTGTCTGAACCAATCACTTTTGTTGRCATTGATCAGCTGACTGATTTAAATACATCTTAACATTCATGAGGTACTTTACATTGACTGTTTATGGCTGAATGTGGGCGTGTAGAGGGTAGAACCTGAGGCGGGACCTCGTGCGCAAACTCTGACGTGCAGCTGTGATTTATAAAGGAAAGGTGCGCAGAAACGTGCGTACGCATGGTTTTGTAAATCTGAATTTTTTTTTGGCGTACACCATTTTCACCTTTTGGCCGTACGCTCACTTTTAGTATGGTTTCCACGCAATCCTTTATAAATGAGACCCCAGATCTGTTGAAGTGGGGCTTTGTGGAACCATAAATATCTTACCTGTTATAGATGGCTTTTTGAGAGTTTTAATTATGACTGGATTGATGAGCCAAGGGCTAAAACAGCTTTGATCTCAAGGCTTTTCTAAAAACTTCTTGCTTCTAAACCTTTACACTGCCATCAGCAGGGATATGCTTATTTACATAGAACGGTATGAGTTTCTTGCGAGACCAAATGGCGGCAGCAGCTAGCTCCCACCCTTTGATTCTGGCTTCTTTCAGACCAGCTCCTCATTAATCTGGTCCAGAATAAATACAATCCTTCCAAAATGAGATTATTCATAGAACAATCTGAAACAGGTAAGATACTGATCATCAACCTTTGCACAGCAGCTCATTTCAACAGAGTTGAGCTTTCCTTTGAAGGAAAAATGTCTGATTTTAAGACTATAAATAAGTCTCGGTCCTGATAGCTGTGAGAATAATGGCAGATCGACCCAGGGAGCAGGCAAGTCAGAGCGTAGTGACAAAACAGTTTATTTAATAAAGAAAAACGCTGTCGAGGCAGCTTCAAAGAACCCATGGGAAATATTTGCGAGGAGCACAAAGAGCACAAGAAACAACACGAGGGCATGAGACAGAATATAAAGACCAACTAATGAGGGTAAATGAGGAACACAGAGAAGACAGATTGTGTCAATAACAAGTAGGTAAAATTTTACAAATTCAAAATAAATAAATAAATAAATCTGACCTGCAAGAAAAGAAGTGGAAAAAAATGAGAAAATGATCAGTTTTCCTTTTTTTAAATATCACCTAAATCAGTTCAGCCCAGTAACGTTACCTGTATTATTGTTGACAATATCATAAATAAAATCAGCAACAAACACCTTCTTATTTACTGAAGCACACTGCATTCATAAAAACATTATGAGAAAGAGTTTAATTCTGCGTTAAAGCCCTTTGGTTGGCACTTTACTGCTGGGACAAAATGTTAGCAGCTCGAGGGATCCTCACAGCTGCTGCTCCCTTCATATGGAGCCTGTAAGCCTCTCGATACAAAGTGTTACATAAAAACTGCCAACTAATTAAGTAAAGTGGAGTCAATTGTTCTCAAAGAGAAAATCCCTGGGGACATTATCTGTTCATTATGTACTATGAATTTAAAGTTGTTGTTTCCTCTCATGAAGAACTTCATAGTTTTGTTTTAATCAAAGCCTAAATGCTCATCATGGATTTGTTGCATGTGTGCAGTTGACTTTCTGTCCTGTAGAAATGGGTTGTTGTTGACCTGTTTGTTGGTGTTTTACCTCTTTCAGTGCTCCTGATAATCCGTCTCAGCTGTCTCCTGTTGCATGCTTTAGAGGGGAAAAAAAATCAAACTGTCCAGTAAATGAGATTAGTTCACTGCAAATCCTTTCAGGTTTTAGAGACTTCCTCCCATCTGCAGGATGAAGACTTTTGCACAGACTTATGTAATATTTGTTTTTGTCTCTGCCTTCCAGGCTTTGTGGTTACCCTCCTTTCTATGACGAGAACGACTCAAAGCTGTTTGAGCAGATTCTCAAAGCAGACTATGAGTTTGACGCACCGTACTGGGATGACATATCAGACTCTGGTAAGCTGTGACAGGGTGTGTGTGTGTGTGTGTGTGTGTGTGTGTGTGTGTGTGTGTGTGTGTG